GAACTGGGACATTTTCAGCTTCCAGGAATTGTGTACAGATCCTTGCGACATGTGTTATCATGCTGAAACATGAGGTGATGGCGGCGGATGAAAGGCACAACAGAGATACATTTTTGCGTATGGAACATTTCTGGGATCTTTTATTTCGGCTCATGAAAAATGGGACCAACACTTTACATGTTGCGTTTATATTTTTGTTCAGTATACTGTATATCAAGACCCTTAAGACTCTGGACAATTTGAATGTTTGTTTGTGGGACCCACGCCTACAATCTCACATGTGACTATGTGGTAAATATAACCTGGTCAAGACAGAACATCTCTATTCTTGTTTGACACTATCATATGACTGCAAGCAGTTGTCATACTCTGGATATTAACACTGAACCAACTGTACACACACATCACACACCTTCCCCCTGTCTTTCTGTGAGGGGCTCCACTATCTTTCAAAGTGGTTGAAGATAACATCAATAATGTACACCTCCACATCGCAACCAAATATGCATTGTGTTCTCCAACATGCCTACTCAAACGGAAAGTTGACCCTAGAAGGGAAGAGGGACGAGGGGACGTTACCTTTGACTCCATCCAGAGATCAACCTCGGTCATGGTTGGTGAGTACTGACTGCTGCTTTCTAATATCTACAGTACTGTTGAAGTCGGAAGTTTACATACACTTAGGTTGGAGTCATTAAAACTTGTTTTTCAACCACTCCACAAATGTCTTGTTAACAAACTATAGTTTTGGAAAGTTGGTTAGGACATCTACTTTGTGCATGACACAAGTAATTTTTCCAACAATTGTTTAGAGATTATTTCACTTATAATTCACTGTATCACAATTCCAGTGGGTCAGAAGTTTACATACACTAAGTTGACTGTGCCTTTAAACAGCTTGGAAAATTCCAGAAAATGATGTCATGGCTTTAGAAGCTTCTGATAGGCTAATTGACATAAGTTGAGTCAATTGGAGGTGTACCTGTGGATGTACACTGCTCAAAAAGATTAAGTGAACACTTAAACAACACAATGTAACTCCAAGTCAATCACACTTCTGTGAAATCAAACTGTCCACTTAGGAAGCAACACTGATTGACAATAAATGTCACATGCTGTTGTGCAAATGGAATAGACAACAGGTGGAAATTATAGGCAATTAGCAATACACCCCCAATAAAGGAGTGGTTCTACAGGTGGTGACCACAGACCACTTCTCAGTTCCTATGCTTCCTGGCTGATGTTTTGGTCACTTTTGAATGCTGGCGGTGCTTTCACTCTAGTGGTAGCATGAGACGGAGTCTACAACCCACACAAGTGGCTCAGGTAGTGCAGCTCATCCAGGATGGCACATCAATGCGAGCTGTGGCATGAAGGTTTGCTGTGTCTGTCAGCGTAGTGTCCAGAGCATGGAGGCGCTACCAGGAGACAGGCCAGTACATCAGGAGACGTGGAGGAGGCCGTAGGAGGGCAACAACCCAGCAGCAGGACCGCTACCTCCGCCTTTGTGCAAGGAGGAGCAGGAGGAGCACTGCCAGAGCCCTGCAAAATGACCTCCAGCAGGCCACAAATGTGCATGTGTCTGCTCAAACGGTCAGAAACAGACTCCATGAGGGTGGTATGAGGGCCCGACGTCCACAGGTGGGGTTTGTGCTTACAGCCCAACACCGTGCAGGACATTTGGCATTTGCCAGAGAACACCAAGATTGGCAAATTCGCCACTGGCGCCCTGTGCTCTTCACAGATGAAAGCAGGTTCACACTGAGCACATGTGACAGACGTGACAGAGTCTGGAGACGCCGTGGAGAACGTTCTGCTGCCTGCAACATCCTCCAGCATGACCGGTTTGGCGGTGGGTCAGTCATGGTGTGGGGTGGCATTTCTTTGGGGGGCCATGTGCTCGCCAGAGGTAGCCTGACTGCCATTAGGTACCGAGATGAGATCCTCAGACCCCTTGTGAGACCATATGCTGGTGCGGTTGGCCCTGGGTTCCTCCTAATGCAAGACAATGCTAGACCTCATGTGGCTGGAGTGTGTCAGCAGTTCCTGCAAGAGGAAGACATTGATGCTATGGACTGGCCCGCCCGTTCCCCAGACCTGAATCCAATTGAGCAAATCTGGGACATCATGTCTCGCTCCATCCACCAATGCCACGTTGCACCACAGACTGTCCAGGAGTTGGCGGATGCTTTAGTCCAGGTCTGGGAGGAGATCCCTCGGGAGACCATCCACCACCTCATCAGGAGCATGCCCAGGCGTTGTAGGGAGGTCATACAGGCACGTGGAGGCCACACACACTACTGAGCCTAATTTTGACTTGTTTTAAGGACATTACATCAAAGTTGGATCAGCCTGTAGTGTGGTTTTCCACTTTAATTTTGAGTGTGACTCCAAATCCAGACCTCCATGGGTTGATACATTTGATTTCCATTGATAATCTTTGTGTGATTTTGTTGTCAGCACATTCAACTATGTAAAGAAAAAAGTATTTAATAAGATTATTTCATTCATTCAGATCTAGGATGTGTTATTTTAGTGTTCCCTTTATTTTTTTGAGCAGTGTATTTCAAGGCCTGTGGATGTATTTAATCCTTGGGAGCAATTTCCAAACACCTGAAGGTACCACGTTCATCTGTACAAACAATAGTACGCAAGTATAAACACCATGGGACCACGCAGCCGTCATACCGCTCAGGAAGGAGACGCGTTCTGTCTCCTAGAGATGAACGTACTTTGGTGCAAAAAGTGCAAATCAATCCGAGAACAACAGCAAAGGACCTTGTGAAGATGCTGGAGGAAACGGGTACATAAGTATCTATATCCACAGTAAAACGAGTCCTATATCGACATAACCTGAAAGGCCGCTCAGCATGGAAGAAGCCACTGCTCCAAAACCGCCATAAAAAAGCCAGACTACGGTTTGCAACTGCACGTGGGGACAAAGATCGTACTTTTTTGAGAAATGTCCTCTGGTCTGATGAAACAAAAATAGAACTGTTTGGCCATAATGACCATCGTTCTTTAGAGATTCATTATTTCCAGTTCTGATGATTGTTATTGTTCCTCATCTATCAGGGATAGACCTTTATTCAGCCACAGCAGTCAACTTCCTGGGCACTGTTCCATCGTCACACCTCCCCAGCTATCAGGACTGAACACCGACAGTCCTGGCTTAAGAGTAAGCTCTATCGCCTCTGTTAACTCACTATAATAAGAGGTCGTCTTACTCACACTGGAGACAGGCGTTCACACTTGGCCCAGGGCCTAGTTCTAAAAGGAAGTGTGAGTGTAGGCCTATCTCTGCTTCAGTTTATCTTACCGTTATGCAGTACACACATTCCATAGTTCCTGAGCCAATGGGAACGATTGGAAAAAGCTCTCTCAATGCCCACGCCTACACAGCAGGGCCATGGACTGTTCCAAACTCCAGTAGCACCCTTCACTTTGTGATGGATTAAAAGTAGAACAAGAATCAAGGAGAGGATACATTGGATAAACATTTGTTCTTGAATAAGGCAATGAGAGGAGAGTTTATAGGCTGGAGCTGGGCCGGATGAGGGAAATGGAAGTGGAGCATAAATTAATGTCTTTGTTATTAATTTAAACATTTAGCTACTGTTGTTATAACCAGCAGAGCACTTCAACCCCTAAAGACTGTTTATACAGCTGTTATCTTACATATTCTACCAAGATAAATTGTCTCACAAATTACTTGTGAATTCTTATTTGAGGCACTTGGTAACAGATGTTCCCTCCAGTGACCAAGGAATGGGCAAACATCGGTTTGAATGAGGCACTGGTGTGCTGTGGTAATACAACTCTGCCATCTTGTGGATTAAGTGGCTCTCCTCACCATAGGAGCAATGAGCAAGTTAATCTTACCACTCTATCATTAACCTCAGGCAGGCAATAGATTTAGCTTCATAACGTTTTTTAAGACACAAGAATGTGTTGTGATACAGTATTTTAGTATTTAGTATTTTCTTAAAGGGATGAAACTCAGACAAAGCGTTTCAAAGGCTGTTCTTTTGCTCATCTTGTTCTCTGACTTCCCTCCTCTAGACACTCACCCATGCTTGCTATGTCAATGAATGACATCACTGTCTCCATCACTGTTTAGCAGTCTTGCCGTCAGAGAGAGAGAGGGAGAGATTTACAGGGCTTGAACTAATGGAAAAGAGTGAAGTTAATAGTAAGGGGAACATTGATTAACTCTCCGTCCCCTCATCTCTTCAGGGCAAAAACCATTAAAGTGTATTTTGGGAACATAATTTTGCCCAAGAGTTTGAGGCGAAGGGGAAAATGTGAGTTCCTTGTCTCAGAGTGAAAATATTTAACAGTCAGAGAAGCGTTCCGATGGTTTTGGCAGTGCAAGTTAAACAGTGTCTGTAGCTAAGAGTCTGTCAATGTACATTAAAGTTTAGATCCCCAATGGTGAAACAGCCACCTCCATTTGCAATATTACAACAACAAAGAAGTTACTGAAATCAAAGGATGCTGTTTTTCACCCTCGGACATCATTGCACGCACGATAGAAGAGCACAATATGTAATGCTTTTTTAAAAATCATTCTGCGCGACATCTCCTCACCTCGAAAAAACAATAACAATGCTGGTGGGGAGGCTGTGGCACTAGTTCAGACTACTGTGAGTTCTGCTTTAAGAGAGGAGGCCATGTTTGGTGATGTCATTAGACTGAAGTAAACAGGGGCCCCAGTGGAAAATATATCCACGCTGATACTCTCTTTTCACTTTTTGGGGTCTTCTTGGATAGTCAGACATAATAATCTTAGAAAGAGAAAATAATACAGCCCCATTTACACTGGCAGGCAAGCTGTCAGCTTGTTATTAAATAATTAATCTAGCTATATCTAACGTGGAACCAGGCATATTGTCCTTGTTGAGCACATAGTACCTGATGTCATCTCTATTGTGGGTCCTTGTTTTTTTGTATTGCCATAGATGTACTTACCTGGTCACAGTATTAGGTATTAAAGCCAGTTATGAAAGTTAAATGTTTTATTGGTGACATAAATGAAGGTTGCACAGACAGATAAGTTCAAAGATTGTGAAAAGTATTGTAGGGCTTCAGTTTGAATACTTTACAATTCATTTTCTGCACAAAATACTGGCTAAGTATCATGACATCAGTCAATGATGTCACACTTGGAAGCCCTAAACAGCTCACATACCTGTATGATGCCTTATTGAATCCTCTTTACGTCTCCACCACAAAACTGGACATATAACCTTCTTATGTTAACAATTCCTGCCAAGTGCAGGAGCCAACGTCTCATTTAAACCCCATATGCCGTCCTTGTGTTGTAAAGGCAAAAAAACGATGATACATGTAGGCCCAAAACTGTGTAGGGCCACCGTCAGAACATCTGTTAAAACGATTCACCATCGCACAGCAGCAGTCAAATGGCTAACATGAAGCACAGCTGAAAGCACTACAGTTCACCTGATTCATCATCACAACTCAGTATGGTATGTGCCATAGCCTACTGCTATTTCTGTAACATTGCTTAATGTGTTTATTCAAAGACCAGAGTTTTCTAATAACCTTGTAGAGAGGCCATGAATCATGTAGAATGGCAGTAAATTAGTTTTACATTTTCTGGGGGAGGACCCCCAGCCCCCACAGCAGACTTGGTCCCCCCAATGTCTATACCACTTCGCCCTTGGCGAAGACAGCAGAATTTTTCCAGTCCGAGTGCACCAAGAAGCCAGTGAAGGTGCTGTCAGTCTTAGAGCTGGAGTAGAAACCACTGTACTCTCCCAACGCCATCTGCACCCACACCTGGTCGCCCGGGATGAGGTGCAAAAGCGAGCCGCCGGACAAAGACGCCGGCTTGGGCCAGTTCCCGTAGAACTGGAAGTAGGACGCCATTGCGTGACCGTTCTTCATCAGGTCAAACTGCAGGCTGGCCCGGTAGACGGTGGCGTGGACCGCAAAGTAGTAGACGCCGGGCACTTTGCAGGTGAAGCGTCCTGTTTCCGTGTCGTAGTCGCCCTGCTCGTTTAGCGTTACCTTGTCAAAGCGCACAGCGTCTTCCGCTGCCACGGGCATGGTGCGGCCCTCTGACAACTTGGCGCTGAAGGCAGATTTGGGAGCGACGGCGCACTCCCCCGACTGCCCCCTGTCTCCTTTATCGCCAGGGTTCCCCTGGTCTCCAGTGAGACCCCTAAAGCCTGACTCGCCTTTAGGGAGAATAGACACAATGCTGTTACTACTGTTCATTCAATAACACTTGAATCAACAGCAAACCAATTAAACCAGGGGAAGACTCATGGATCATTATAGTCCACAGTATGTTGTAGAAAGTATGGTGCACTGTACCTGTCTCTCCCCTGTCTCCCTTCTCTCCCTTCTCCCCAGGGACAGAATCACGCCCGTCCCTCCCATCTCTTCCTGGTTGGCCAGAACTGCCGTGCACCCCAGGGGTACCTGGGATACCTGGGTGTCCCGTACACAGACTGGGCGGGATCTTGTTGTCATCTAATTGGTTGGAGAAGTTGACCAGTAGAACGGGGAGGAGGAGGAGGGGCCACAGCTGGAGTGATGTCATTTCAATGCTACTATGTATAGGAGGGAAACATTCTCTGTCAACATGAAGTAATGGAAAATACATTTTCTACTTGATATTCTATTCTCTAGAACTGACTTCTCCAGGGGATACTCATAGTGTGTCATCTGTGAGTTTATAAATAGCTATGGAGTTCATTGATTTGTTCTGCAGATGTTATGAGAAGCATAACAGTGCAAGGGATATATAATCACAAGGAAATCTAATAACACAAACTCTTGAACCCATAAATGCGATGTGCTGAAATCAATGGAAATATCCTTCAAAGAAATCTGACATTAAATGAGAGCAGAAAAATAACCTGTAATGTGTTGTAACAGATGTCATATAGGAGAGATTGAATCAGCTTTTCTTATTGACAGATTAATGACGTGTGTAGTGTGAATACAGAAGTCCAACTCCTTTCCCATTGGTGACATGTGTAGACGAAGGTCTTGGACTCTCACTAAACTTGACACAGCTAAAAGGAGGGGTCAGATGACCAGGGGAAACATTCAACTGGAGAGAGGGAGTGACGGAAATGGAATAACCATCTAAAAATAACATAAGACGCCTCGTACCATGGACACAAAGCTTTGAGAGTATAGGCCCCCAGTACATTTAATGAGAGCATACACAGTACCTACAGTGCATTCGGAAAGTATTCAGACCCCTTGACTTTTTCCACCTTTGTTTTTACGTTACAGCCTTATTCTAAAATGTATTAGTTTTTTTCTCTCATCAAGCTACACACAATACCCCATAATGACAAAGCAATAACAGGTTTTTAGAAATGTTTGCAACTTTATTAAAAATAAAAAACTGAAATATCACATTTACATAAGTATTCAGACCCTTTACTCAGTACTTTGTTGTAGCACCTTTGGCAGCGAGCTTGGCACACCTGTATTTGGGGAGTTTCTACCATTCTTCTCTGCAGATCCTCTCTAGCTCTGTCAGGTTGGATGGGGAGCATCGCTGCACTGCTATTTTCAAGTCCAGGCTCTGGCTGGGCCACTCAAGGACATTCAGAAACTTGTCCCGAAGCCACTCCTGTGTTGTCTTGGCTGTGTGCTTAGGGTCGTTGTCCTGTTAGAAGGTGAACCTTCGCCCCAGTCTGAGGTCCTGAGTGCTCTGGAGCAGGTTTTCATCAAGGATCTCTCTGTACTTTGCTCCATTCATCTTTCCCTCGGTCCTGACTAGTCTCTCAGTTACAGTGGGGAGAACAAGTATTTGATACACTGCCAATTTTGCAGGTTTTCCTACTTACAAAGCATGTAGAGGTCTGTAATTTTTATCATAGGTACACTTCAACTGTGAGAGACGGAATCTAAAACAAAAATCCAGAAAATCACATTGTATGATTTTTAAGTAGTTAATTTGCATTTTATTGCATGACATAAGTATTTGATACATCAGAAAAGCAGAACTTAATATTTGGTACACAAACCTTTGTTTGCAATTACAGAGATCATACGTTTCCTGTAGGTCTTGACCAGGTTTGCACACACTGCAGCAGGAATTTTGGCCCACTCCTCCATACAGACCTTCTCCAGATCCTTCAGGTTTCGGGGCTGTCGCTGGGCAATACGGACTTTCAGCTCCCTCCAAAGATTTTCTATTGGGTTCAGGTCTGGAGACTGGCTAGGCCACTCCAGGACCTTGAGATGCTTCTTACTGAGCCACTCCTTAGTTGCCCTGGCTGTGTGTTTGGGGTCGTTGTCATACTGGAAGACCCAGCCACGACCCATCTTCAATGCTCTTACTGAGGGAAGGAGGTTGTTGGCCAAGATCTCGCGATACATGGCCCCATCCATCCTCCCCTCAATACGGTGCAGTCGTCCTGTCCCCTTTGCAGAAAAGCATCCCCAAAGAATGATGTTTCCAGCTCCATGCTTCACGGTTGGGATGGTGTTCTTGGGGTTGTACTCATCCTTCTTCTTCCTCCAAACACGGCGAGTGGAGTTTAGACCAAAAAGCTCTATTTTTGTCTCATCAGACCACATGACCTTCTCCCATTCCTCCTCTGGATCATCCAGATGGTCATTGGCAAACTTCAGACGGGCCTGGACATGCGCTGGCTTGAGCAGGAGGACCTTGCGTGCACTGCAGGATTTTAATCCATGACGGCGTAGTGTGTTACTAATGGTTTTCTTTGAGACTGTGGTCCCAGCTCTCTTCAGGTCATTGACCAGGTCCTGCTGTGTAGTTCTGGGCTGATCCCTCACCTTCCTCATGATCATTGATGCCCCACGAGGTGGGATCTTGCATGGAGCCCCAGACCGTGGGTGATTGACCGTCATCTTGAACTTCTTCCATTTTCTAACAATTGCGCCAACAGTTGTTGCCTTCTCACCAAGCTGCTTGCCTATTGTCCTGTAGCCCATCCCAGCCTTGTGCAGGTCTACAATTTTATCCCTGATGTCCTTACACAGCTCTCTGGTCTTGGCCATTGTGGAGAGGTTGGAGTCTGTTTGATTGAGTGTGTGGACAGGTGTCTTTTATACAGGTAACGAGTTCAAACAGGTGCAGTTAATACGGGTAATGAGTGGAGAACAGGAGGGCTTCTTAAAGAAAAACTAACAGGTCTGTGAGAGCCGGAATTCTTACTGGTTGGTAGGTGATCAAATACTTATGTCATGCAATAAAATGCAAATTAATTACTTAAAAATCATACAATGTGATTTTCTGGATTTTTGTTTTTGTTTAGATTCCGTCTCTCACAGTTGAAGTGTACCTATGATAAAAATTACAGACCTCTACATGCTTTGTAAGTAGGAAAACCTGCAAAATTGGCAGTGTATCAAATACTTGTTCTCCCCACTGTACCTGGCGCTGAAAAACATCCCCACAGCATGATGCTGCCGCCACCATACTTCACCGTAGGGATGGTGCCAGGTTTCCTCCTTTAGGTTCCTTTTGGCAAACTCCTGTCATGTAACTTTTACTGAGGAGTGGCTTCCGTCTGGCCACTCTACCATAAAGGCCTGATTGGTGGAGTGCTGCAGAGATGGGTGAACCTTCCAGAAGGACAACCATCTCCACAGAGGAACTCTGGAGCTCTGTCAGAGATGACCATTGGGTTCTTGATCACCTCCCTGACCAAGGCCGTTCTCCCCCGATTGCTGAGTTTGGCCGGGCGGCCAGCTTTAGGAAGAGTCTTGGTGGTTCCAAACTTGGAGGCCATTATGTTCTTGGGGACCTTCAGATTCAGAAATTTTTTGGTACCCTTCCCCAGATCTGCGCCTTGACACAATCCTGTCTCGGAGCTCTGTGGACAATTTCTTCAACCTCATGGTTTGGTTTTTGCTCTGACATGTACTGTCAACTGTCAATTTTCAAGTCTCATAGCAAAGGGTCTAAATACTTATGTTTTTTATTTGTAATACATTTGCAAACATTTCTAAAATCTGTTTTCGCTTTGTCATTATGGTGTATTGTGTGTAGATTGATGAGGATAAAAAAAAAATCAATTTTAGAAAAAGGCTGTAACGTAGCAAAATGTTGGAAAAAGGGAAGGGGTCTGAATACTTTCCGAATGCACTGTATGGCCAACAGGCATTACACCTTTAAAAGGCAATCAGATTATGACCATATCTTATATAGGTCCCGTGTGGCTCAGTTGGTAGTTGGTAGAGCATGGCGCTTGCAACGCCAGGGTTGTGGGTTCGATTCCCACGGGGGACCAGTATGGAAAAACAGTATGAAAATGAATGCACTCACTACAGTAAATCACTCTGGATAAGAGCGTCTGCTAAATGACTAAAATGTAAAAAATTTAAGTATCTGTTGGCATCAGTAGCCTACACTTCTTCTCCCAGTTTTTAAAACAGCTGTTTCACATTAAATGTCAACGAGAGCAGCAGTGCCAGAATGGAAGCAATCATTATTTACACTGTTCAAAACAAAAGCTCAGTGTTAATCCCTGCTTTCCTTTGGTGTGAGTTCAGGATCGTCTGTGTCTGTGTCTGTGTCTGTGTCTGTGTGTGTGAGTGTGAGTGAGTGAGAGCCTGAGGGTGTTCCTGTGTCTGTGTCTCCGCCCCCTCTTTTAGCAGTGCTGGGAAAGAGAGGAGCCAGCTGTGAGGGACTGACTGGCAGGATGTCTACAGACTAACACTGTTGGCTACCATGGGACTGGAGCACAGGACAAGCCTCACAAGGCCTGAAAAAACAGACACTGGGAACGACAGGGCATGTCTCCAGAGCACCTCACAATCAATTCGCTGATAGCAAGAGTGGACCATGTGGTAGAAAACTGTGCAACTTGATCACACAAAAGAATGCTCACATTGAAAATTGAAAATTACTACCACAGAATATGCCCATATTCAAACGCCCGTTTTAGAAATCCGATAGAACTATCTTCGAGTAAGGACTTCCAGCCTGTAGTTTGCTCACTACAAGCAAATATTACTTTAAGGCCAGAAAATATGAAATCCTCAATATACTGTCTTCCAGGTTATTTTCAGCTCATTGCAGCTGTCGTGAGTCAGTGGTATATTTCAGCCACAGCTGCTGTATTCTTTATGACAGCATTTAAAGACCTGTACCGAGCAGAGAGGGCTGGCCTGTGGAGAAACTAGCCAAAAGCTGTGTCAGCATTCTGAGGAAGAACAGACAGACAGGATAAACACTGGAATCTGAGAAGCTGCAGATTTCTATATCCCTATTTCCTATAAGGACCACAAACTCCATTTTTTTGTGTGGGAGTACGATATGCAAAGGACAGTAATACATTGGTATGTATAGTTGCAACTTTTTGAGCAACTAATCATCCAATAACATACAGGGGATGTGAGCATGTTAGCAGTATCACAAAGAATCACAGTATAGCACGTTTCTGATGAGGATAGCAGCAGTCTATCACTGGTTAGAAAAATGTATACTATTTGAATAGGATAGACAGTGTGACAAATAGGCTACATTATTTGTTACTTCAATAAAACATTTATATTCCAATTACATAGGAATTCATCAATGCATTTGCAAAACAAAATTAATTGCCTGTGAAACACACTCAATTCCTTTACTGACTGTTTGCGTGGCAAGCAAAAAAAATTCAATGGAAAATAGATCATTTTACTTATTGTAGATAATGTTGAACCACACCTACTCACAGCAGA